TTCCCCAAGACCATTAGTATAAATGAATGTACACTTGTACAAGGAGCACAAATTATTATACTTATGCTTATACTGTCATGAGTACACATATTAAGGAAGTTATTTTTTGCTTCTTAGAGATCTATACTGAATCCTTAAAATGTTTTATTCTGTAATCATTGTTCCCTAAGAAATTCCACTTTAATAGTATCAGTTATGTGCTTATATTCTACAAAATATATTTATAAGAATTAATATATGAATATATGAAGATTGTCTGGAAAGGCCCTTATCTATGTCCCATTACCTTTTCAGGATTTTTTGGTGAGAACAAGGGAGAGGGTCTTCTCTGTGTCTGCTTCCAGACTTTAGAAATCCTTACCTAAAGAGACCAAGATGGTCTTATCTTTCCTCTCCTTCCATCAGCAGGTCAAAACATTTTTGTGCTCCAGGGATTACTAGGGTTGGGCCTCTAAAGTTATGTGGTGTAGTTTTTAAGTTTTTTTAGGGTTTATATACAGTCACCCCTCTGTTCTTGCAGAACTGAGATCTGCGGTTTTGAATATTCATGGAAGGGCGACTTCCGTTAAGATAAATGGGGCATGCCCCTGTGGTGTGTGCCTGTGCGTGCCTGCAGGGGTATGCCCCATTCAAGCCTATGGGGCTTGAATATTGTTGAGTCTGTTTTCACAGGGGTGGTTGTCCAGAACAGATCCCCTGCAAAAATGGTGGTGGTGGTGGGGCGACCATATATGCTTTTAAATCATTTTAATATTTTTTAATGATTAATGATTTAACTTATAAATTGGGAGAAAGGTATAATATAAATTAACAGCAGCAGTACAAAGGAAGATGAAAGGGTCTTTTCTGTGGTTGCTTGTACACTTTTGACCTTCCTCCATAAGGAGGCTAAAATTGCCTCCTCTTTGCTCTTCTGTCAGAATGTGAATACAATCACCCCTTCGTTTCATAGACTTCATGTCCATGGTTTTATATATTTACAGGGGGGCGACCTCCATTTAAGCCCCTATAGGGCTTGAATATTCACTAATCTCCATTTTTGCGTGTGTGTGTGTGTGGGGGGGGTCCGGAACAGATCCCCCATGAAAATGGAGGGCCAACTGTACTTTAAAAAAAATCATTCAGACAGGCTTTTGGACCTGAAAGTTTTTAAGAAAGGGGTTGTAAAAAGGTGCTGTTTGGTTTTAAATTGTACATTTTAATAATAATAATAATAATAATAATAATAATAATACATTTTATTTATATCCCACCCCTCTGTCATGCAATCGAGGCGGCTCACAACAATTTAAAAACATCATACAATGTTAAAATACCATCCAAACCCCACACCCCCCCTTAAAAAGGAATTAAATAATTTTTATATTAAAACAATGATACAAACACATAATTAATATAAACCATAATCAAACAAACAGTAATAGGCAAGGCAGCATTTAAACCAGATATAGGAGGGATAAAAGGACTCCTGAGGCCAGGAAACTAATCAGGAAGGCCTGCCAGAAGAGATCCGTCTTAACAGCTTTTTAAAAACTGCTTAAGGTTGTCAACTGACGGATCTCATCCAGCAGCCCATTCCATAATTTGGGGGCGATGATGGAAGAAGCCCTCTGGGAGGTTGTCGAGAGCCTAGTTTTCATTGGCTGTAGCAAATTCCTCCCAGAGGACCGAAGTGTGTGGGGAGGATTATATGGGAAGAGGCAGTCCCAAAGATAAGATGGACCCAAGCCATTTAGGGCTTTAAAGGTCAAAAACAACACCTTATACTGGGCCCGGAAACTGACAGGCAGCCAGTGAAGAGATTTTAATACAGGAGTTATGTGATCTCTCCATGATATACCTGAGAACACTCTGACTGCCATATTTTGTACTAACTGAAGTTTCTGAACCAAGCATGAGGGTAGCCCCATGTAGAATGCATTACAGAAATCTAGACGGGAGGTTACCAGCGCGTGCACCACGGTCTCAAGATCTCTTACTTCCAGGAAAGGGCGCAGCTGGCATATCAGCCAAAGCTGATAACAGGCACTTCTGACCGTCGCATTTATCTGACTAGCCATCTGAAGCGACGGACCAAGGAGCACCCCCAGTCTGTGAACACAGTCCTTTGTGGAGAGTGTGACCCCATCTAGGACTGGAGGTTGCAACCCAATCCTTGATTTTGGGGCCGCCACCGTGAGCACTTCCATTTTGTCTGGATTCAGTCTCAATTCATTTTTCCTCATCCAGCTCATTACTGCCTTAAGACAGTCATTAAGAGGAGGGATGCCATTGGAATTTGAGGCTGATGATCGAGATAAGGAGAAATAACACCCAGCCCCATAACACCGGATAATCTCACCCAGCAGCTTCATATAAATGTTGAACAACATTGGGGGCAGGATGGTGCCTTGTGGAACGCTGCAAGTAAGCTCCTTCTTGCTGGAGCAAATGTCCCCGAGCCACACCCTCTGGGATCTGCCTGAGAGGAAGGACCGGAACCACTGCAATGCCAAGAGGATGCTATGATCCATCGTATCAAAAGCCGCTGAGAGGTCTAAAAGCAGCTTTTGGGTCACACTACCCCTGTTGATGCTTAGGGTGTCGTCGGTCAAGCCAACCATGGCAGTCTCAACCCCAAATCCCATCCTAAAGCCAGTTTGAAATGGGCCTAGATAATCGGTTTCATCCAAGACTACTTGGAGTTGAAGAGCAACCGCCCTCTGGATCACTTTGCTTATGAATGGTAATGTAGAGACCGGCCTATAGTTGTTCATGTCCAGGGGGTCCAGGGAAGGTTTTTTCAGAAGCGGCCTAACTGCCACCTCCTTTAAGCATGATGGAACATGACCTTCCCTGAGGGACACATTGACGATATCCTTAAGAAATACCCTCAATGCATCCCCCCCCGAGGATGGCCAGCCATGATGGGCAAGGATCAAGAGGGCTGGTTATCTTCCTCACACTACCCAGTAGCTTGTCCACATCCTCAGTACTCACAGATTGAAATTGATCCAGTAAATTTACATCAACGGAATTGCTGGACACCTCGTCAATTGTTTCTGTCAAAATACTAGCGTCTACGTAGGCTCTTATCCAAGAGATTTTATCTGCAAAGAAGTTGTTAAATGTATCACAGCAGGCTATTGTTGTGTTAAGCAATGGGTTCTGTGCAGGTGGAATCTGCGTCAGTTCCCTTACCACCCTAAGCAGTTCTGCTGGAAGAGACTCTGCAGACACAATATGTGCAGAGGAGAAGGCCCTCTGCACTGCACGTATTGCCTCTCGATAGGCCCAAAGAAAGTTCCTATAATGAGTCTTGTCAGGTATGAGTCGAGTTTTCCGCCAGATGCGCTCTAGTCGTTGTCCAACCCGTTTCATCTTTCTAAGCTCAGATGTATACCATGGCCTACGATTTGAAACAGGTTGGAAAGGATGTTTGGGAGCGATCGTGTCGATAGCTTTGGTGAGATCGGTGTTCCAGGTATTAACCAAAGCTTTGACATAATCACCAGCATTACCAACCATTAACTCCTCTAAGGCTTTCTGGAATCCTATGGTTTCATTAGCCTTCGAGGGCGGACCATTCTAATGGGTCCACCACCCCTGGTTGGGCAGATCATGGTCCTTAGTTCAGTCTTGACCAGGATATGATCTGTCCATGACAATGCATTGGTCTTAATGACCTCCGCTCACGGATATTCCTGTTCTGTACTAAAGACCACATCGAGGGTATGACCTGCACAATGTGTGGGCCCGACGACCAGTTGGGATAGGCCCATGTTTGTCATGGATTCCATGAACTCCCGAGCTGCACCAGTTAGATTTTCCAAACTGGCCTCGAGTGGAATGTTGAAGTCACCCAGAACTAAAAGTCTGGGCGACTCCAACAGCAACTCTGATACCAGCTGTGTCAGCTCAGTCAGGGAGTCAGCTAGACAATGGGGTGGTCGGTATACTAGCAGAATCCCCAAACTATCCCTGGCCCTCAGGCTCAGGTACATACACTCGAAGTGGACCGTGTTCTGGACAGGTATCCTGGTCAAGATTAGGTTGCTCTTATGAACCAGGGCCACACCGCCCCCCCACCCACTTTCCCTTACTTGCTCACCAACAGAATACCCAGCTGGGAGGGCCTGTGACCATGTAGCAACATTGTCCTCTCCCAGCCAGGTTTCTGTAAAGCAAGCCAGGTCGGCATCCTCATTTGAAGAAGATCATATATAATATGAGTCTTGTTTTTGACCGACCTGGCATTTCAAAGGAGCAAAGTAAGGTTCTGTGGAATGGTTGGTACCCTCTCCAACCCAGTCCGAGAAACAGAGTGAACTGAAAGCAAAATAGCTTTCAAACAGCGATCCCGCTTTCTTTTGTAACATCTGTTCACTCTGTATCCACCATACCTCCCATTCCCCTGCACAACCCCAATTTGTGCTCCCAAATCCTTCCCGGTCTCAAATGACAAAGGAGTCAAGGAAAACAAATCACCCTCCCCACCAAGTTGTTGCTGCGGGTGCTCCAAATAATAGGAATGCATGGTCGTTTAAATAGAGAAGGCCCTACTCCAAATCTCACTTCTGTCATTAATGCCTTTGCAAGTTCCACACATGATGCAAGAGGCTTTTTGTCACAGACGGGTATAGCAGTAGAGAAGGGCTGGGCAAGTGCCAAAAATTTCTTGCCCAAGCCCAAAAACTTCTACTGCTCCCACTGTCACTGTCACAGTTATCAAGATGCCCCCAGAGGTGATAAGATTTGGGCAGGCTCCTGAGCTTCCTCCCAGCATTTTAAAGTTATTAAAATAACTTTAAAAATGTATGTTTAAAATTGTTTAAATATGTTTAATAGTTTAATTCTGTTTTCATGTTACTTTTAGCATATTTTTAGTTAGTTATATTGTAATAATTGTGTGTGTGTTATATTGTAATATAACACACAGTGTGTTATATTGTAATATAACACACAGTGTGTTATATTGTAATAATTTTAATTTGTAAGTACCTTATAAATGGAATAATGGAGCCAGCATGGCATAGTGGTTTGAGTGTTGGACTCTGGAGTCCAACTCTGGAGACCAGGGTTCAATTCCCAGCTCAGCCATGAAACCCACTGGGTGACTTTGGTCATGTTGCATGCTCTCAGCCTTTGTAATAAAAATATTACAAAGAAATTTCCCTGCTGGGAAAATTCAGTGTGTATATTTGTAATTATTTCTGAATAAACTATGCTCTTAAATTTAATGGTTCAAACATGATAATTTTATGAGCATTCAAGTGACACATGATACATTTTATGTTCCTGCAGTAACAAAATGCCTTGATATGTGTACAGGTCACTAAAAATAAATATTCACATCACATTTTTCAACAACAGGAAGAAACATACAGGGCAAGGGATAAGCCCTTCATATAGTTTCAATTTTTTAAAATACAATTTTCACATTTCTGCATAAGAAGAAAATATTTCATACTTGTCCTGTTTCTTTCAAAAACCTTTCAGTCTGTATCCTTGATTTAACTGGCCAACAGAAACAAAAGAATTCTAGACAAGACCTGCACAAATTGTTCCCACCAGCCATGTAGCTGAACACATGTTTAATAAACCTTTAGCCTCTACAAAGATCAATAAAAACAGCAGAATTATTAAATGTGAATATAATCAAAACAAGAATAAAGGATTTTTAAAATATGAGATGTGTTTGAATTGGTATCTCACAAGTTGTGATAGTACAAGTTAAGACATTCCCAACATCTTTATTATCATTTTAGTCATTCAGCTAGCCTAACAGATAGTATTTTTGGCTTTTTGACATTCTAGATCAGAGTAACATCAGATTGATATTTATTCAGAGTATCATTATAGTCTGCTTCCCCAAATTTTTGTCAGATCCTGTTCCACTATATTTCTGTAAAGTACAGTGTGACCACCACTGTCCCCACTAGAATTTATAAGTAAAGTTCATGATTGAAATAAAAAAAATATGAATAAATGAACAAAGTTATTAGACTAGTGTTAAAACCAAAACTAAATGATTCTTATATAGGAAAGATTTGTTCCATTTGTAAATGGGTGATCTATTTAACCCCATCTGTGAAAGAAAGACATGTAGTGACTCTGAAAACAAAATACTTCTTGGTTTTTTATTTAATTGAGTTAGATTTATAGGTTACCATCCTTATTCATATTTGTAGCCCATGGCAGTCAACATCACTTGGTTTACAAAAGTTGGTTGGCTTGTTGTTTGAAAAATCTCACATTCTGCATAAAGCTGGGAGTTCCCTCTCCACCTTATTCAGAAATCAGAAAAAGGAGAAAACATTCAAGAACTGAAATTTTTATTCTATTTTTATTTATAGCTTCCCTGTTCCCCAGCAAAAGACCCAGCTGAGTTGCATCTGAACCAGACTATTTAAATGAAATATGGTTCCCCTGCATCTTCTGTGTAAATAAGTAGGTTGGAGGGATTGGCCCTCATATCATCAAACACACCTGCTTGGAAAGTTACAGTTATCTGACTTACGATAGTGATGGTGAATTCTATATTACTAGGTTTTGGGTTTTTTAGCTGCTATCTTATCTCTATTTGTTAATCGATTTCTTATCCAAGCTAGTTTTTGTTATTTTTTTGTCATTTTGAAAGCTAGATATGTGTACTTCAGTAAGGTGTAAAAAAGAAACCATTCCAGCATATTGTCATTTGCTCAGACCTGTATTCTTATCCATATCTTCTCCCCACCAGAATCTTTACTCATTTTGCTTTCACTGTAGTAGTAAACCTTTGGAACTTAATGGTTTAAGATTAATTCTAGGTTAGATATTCTGTTCACTTCATATGTTCCTATGCATTATACCTTTAGTCCTCATCTTATTAAAACATCTGTTTGACCTTTACAGCACTGTGAGAGCTCAAAGGAATAAGGATGACTTCACTATTACCTTAATGTTTATCAGGATATTCCAGGAAATATACTAGGAATCATCCAGTGAGTGCCACATAAACAGCCTGCCATGCAGGTTCCTATTGCTTCTCCATCACTCATCTGGGTTTGTGCCTTGTACAGGCTGATTCTCCCTTATCTGGAATTCTGAAATATTCTTAAATCCAAAATTGTCCATATACATGGTTGGGATAGTGATACTTTTATTTTCTGATGGTTCAATGTACACAAACTTTGTTTCATGCACAAAATCATTAAAATATAAAATGTGTATAAAATTACCTTCAGGCTATGTGTATAAGATGTACACAAAACATAAATGAATTTCATGTTTAGATGTGCATCTCATCTCCAGGTTATCTCATTATATATATGCAAATATTCCAAATTCCTAAAAAGCTCTGAAAACCAAAACACTTCTGGTTCAAGCATTTCAGATAAGGGAGACTCAGCCTGTATTTTATTGAAATGGCTCCTTGCTGTCTTATTGGTTAGATTACTCTACAAAGCACCAGAAGATACTGGATTCTAACACTGATCTTCTCTTCATTGGCTATGTTGATTAGAACCACTCAGAGGGCAGTCCACAACCATGTGATACTGAATTGCTCCTATCACTTTACCTCTAAAGTCACCAATCACCTTGTTTCCATGGAGGGGAGGGACACATGCATTTCAGGTCTTAAATGCCTGACAGTTTCAAAGGACTCTGGTAGCTTGAGGGCCTTGATCTCCAGGTTAGCAAACAAATCATTTACCTCACTAACACCCATTCCATTTCAAAACAGGGCAGTGGTGGTGAGAACCTCAAGACCTGCCTTGATTCACCACAAGGTGTTATTGTTGTTGCCCATGAGTCATCTTCAATTCATGGTGGCCACATGGAAAGATATCTTCAAGATCCCCTGTTCCCCACTGCTCTGGTTAGGCCTGTGGCCTCTCTGATTGAATCCAACCATCTGGTATGTGGTCTTTCTCTTCTATTGCCTGGCACCTTCCCTATCATTATTGTTTTTTCCCCAATAATTCATGCCTTTTCATCATGTGGCCAAAGTACAACAACCTCAATTTAGTCATCCTGGCTTCCAAGACAGCTTGGGCTTAATCTATTCTAGAATCCATTTGTTTGTCTTCTTGGCTATCCATGGTATTCTCAGCACTCTTCTCCAACACCACAACTCAAATGAGTTGATTTTTTTCTTTCAGCTTTCTTCATTGTCCAGCTGTCACTTTCTCACATGATGATGGGGAACACAATGGCTTGAATAATTCTCACTTTGGTGTTCAGAGTTATATCTTTACTCTTTAGGATCCTGTCCAGTTCCTTCATAGTTGCCCTTCCAATTGCTGTTCTGCTTCTAATTTCTTGGCTGCAATCCCTGTTTTGATCAATATTTGATCCAAGATATGAGAATTCCCTGATTATTTCAATTTCTTCATTATTTAGGATTAATTCTTGTAAATCTTCCATGGTCATTATATTTATTTTCTTGATGTTCAGGATTAATTTTACCTTGGCACTGTATTCCTTGACCTTTTTCAGTAATTGTTCCAGATCTTTGTTGGTTTCTACTAGTAGTATTGTGTCATCTGCATATCTTAAGTTGTTAATGTTCCTTCCTCTGATCTTCACTCCTCCTGCCTCTCAGTCTAAGCCTGCTCTGTGTACAATATTTTTGGCATAGAAGTTGAATAGATAGGGTGATATTATGCAGCTTTTGCCACTACATTCCTTCATTCCCTCCCCCCTTTCTTTTTATATGTGAAAATGAGACATACATATCTTCATCAGTGTTCATTTATTAGAAAATATAAACACACAAACCATAGCAATATGTACACCATTACATATTTTCAATTAAGCATAATGTTGAATCTGAGATACATGAATTATACCTTCAGGCTGTTGTTTTGCCTGCTGTAATTTTGTTGCAATGGTTAAATCATCAGTGAAACAAAACAGAATTATCAAAACCCAACACATTCTAGCCTAATGCATTTTATAGTATATGGTTTATTTATGAGTATGTGAGGAAAAATGCAGATTAAAAGTTGAATAACTGTCTGCTTCCAAAAAGTCATGCATAAAGATCTTAATCCAGTTTAAGAAGGTTGTGTTGATAACAGTGGTGTGTGTGTGTGTGTCCATATTGATAATCACTACAAGTAAATGTGAATGAGGCTGGATGTTGTTCATCTTGCACTGAAGAGAGCTATGTGATATGGGCAGGGGATATGAGAAAAAATATTTCAAATTTCACCAACCTGCATCAATATCAAGCCAGTTTACTGGTTGGACATTCTTAAACTCAAGGCAGGTGGCATGACATTAGACCAATCATTGTCACTCGCTTTGACCAAACTGGATTTGTACCTTTTGCTTTGGCAGTTTGATCTCCAGGTGGATACTGTGGATAAGTAAGAATTCACCTTGGAGAAATGTTAATCTTTTCCCTGGTAAAGTCAAAGATACTTCCATGCCTTCCATACACTATACATTAAATAATTAATTTTACACACACACACACACACAGAGATTTTTTAAACATAGATAAAATAACTGTTTCAGAACAGGGAGGTATGCTTCCCTGAATGAAATGAATTGTTTTCGCCTTGTTTGTTGCTTGCTTTGGGTCTGGGATTACAGGTCTGTCATAGGAGACATTTATTTAAATGATCTGGGATTGAATCCAATTGTATCATTACTAGAGATGTGAAGAATACACACTTGTCTTTAATAAGAAAAGGTGCCTCAACTAAATGAAGTGCTCCATAAATAAAATTGTAAACTAATATTAGTTTTTTTTTGTGAATGTTGAGGCTTTTTTTCAATTTCATTTGCACAAAAAGACTTTACTATATTATTTATATATTTGTTTTTGCACAAATAGGAACATTTCTCCCTGCTGAGTGAGTGTATGAGAGATTCCGAGCATTTTAAAATGATATTTGAACTCTAGGACATTACAAACATTGGTTTGCACAGAAGCTCCCTGCCTTCTGCCAGCAAGTGAAAACCTTTCAGTTCCAACAAACTTCTACAGCTTTTCTTCAGTGGGCTTTTAATGCTGTGCTGTCTCTTTGATGTTTATCTGATGTTTTCTAATGGCTTTGAAATGGTTTTAATTCTATAAATTATTCAGTTGTATTCTAGTATAAATT